GCTGTTCCAAGTCCTCCATGCAGAGCACGATACCATAGTCTCTCGAGACTGAAGGATGCTTATGATGATGCCAAATGTGGACAAGGTGGTGTTATAAACAGCATTGTTTAAATGTTCCCATCATTCAGGTGCATTTGCATCAGCCGGGCCTGAAAGAGTTTCCTCAAGCACTTGAGCAAATTCCTCCACTTTTCTCTAATTGCAAGTCTTGCTAATGCCAATACATGTCATCCGTCCTTTTTCATATGATACAATCTCTTTGTTCACAGTTTTACTCTGCTACACAGCGGGGAGTGATCAGTGTTGCAATCAGCACCTTGATAACTGTGTGTGATCATAATACTAGGAAGGCTAGAGCATCTAGCAGGGATCAGATCGAGATGATGCCAATGCTTCGATCTTGGATGTCTCCAAGAGACTCTGTCGAAGCTTCATATTAAAGAACGTGTTGCTGACAAAATGACCATAATCATGGCAAAACTCCAGCAAGCGTTGGCTATTTTCATTCATCTTCCCAATGTCAAACTAGCCTAGACAAGTGGGCCAAGAATTGTGATCAGCACCAACTCTAGCGTTAAAATCTCTGAAAATGAACAGCGGCTCTTTCTCAGGAATTTTCGTGATACAGTCATGGCCAAAAATATTGGCACCCTTGCAATTCTGTCAGAAAATGCAACCCTTCTCTCAGAAAATTGTTGAAGTTGCAAATGTTCTGGTACTCACATGTTCATTTCTTTGGTTTGTGTTGGAACAACATACACACACACACACGCACACACACAAACAGAGAAGAAAAGTCAAATCTGAAACAGTCCCAATGATTTTCCTTGCCAGAAGTATGAGGGTTTTTTTTTTCTTCGATAGATCCCGAGTCTGGCAATCTCGTCTCTCAATGATTTTCATTGCCAGAAGAATGAGGTTTTTTTTTTCTTTGATAGATCCCGAGTCTGGCAATCTCGTCTCTTGCAGTGCAACAATGCCCATCTACAGCCTACTCAATTCCATGTCGATGACAGCTGTCTTGAGTTAGGTCGTCAGAAAAACTAAGGGTCATTGACTGAAAATTCCAGGTGCCCAGCTTCAGGGCAGAAGTTTTCTTATGATTATTGTATGATGAATGGTAATCAATCTGCTTGTTGGCTTTCACCCTAAACCCCATGCACCCTGTGACGTTAACACACCATGGTGAGGCAGCACCTTACTGGCTGGGGGCTGCCCAGCTTAAGGCAGGCGGTAGCTACCTAGTGAGGTGCAATGACCTCTCCCACTGGCATCACGCTCCTGGCATCACGCTCTATTCCAATCAAGCAAAGACTTATAACAGGTAACTGCTGCTTCCCGTGTTATTTCAACACTGTATGCAAAGCTGGAGTGTTCTCCCCAGAGCACGAAGCTTGGGTAACATAGTATGGAGGATAGGCTGTTACCAAGCAGCAAATCCCCCTTCTCCACATCACTGAAAAAGTCCAATGGAAAGGCAAGAGCCAATACAACTGGTTCCAGCGATGTTACAGGATTTGCCAGAATGTCACAAACTGCCTCCGGGACTCTGCCCGAGGTTTACTCCTGAAGCCTTTTCCTTCGGTGGATATAGTCACAAGGCAGTGGAAGTTTGAAATCGGAGTTTTCCTTCCTCTAGGTGGACTACCTTCCAAGGCTAATGAGCTCCACCTACCCCAGGTGCAAAAAGCTCCTACTATGTACAGTACTCAGATGCTTTCAGTAGTGAGAATCTGAAACATCAGTATCTGGCTGTGAATGTTAGATAAAATTATGCCAGATAAGTGTTTGAGCACTAGTACTCAGATGCTTTCAATAGTGAGAATCTGAAACATCAGTACTGTATCTGGCTGTGAATGTTAGGTAAAATTATGCCAGATAAGTGTTTGAGCACCAGGTGGCGATGGTGCTTCATCTCTTGTTCCCTCCTGCGTTGCTACACTAA